TGAAAAGAGGTTTTATATTGGTATCAGGAAGCTAAGAATCAGCAGATGATGATGATGCACGGAAGTTAGATACTGTACCTAGAAACTAAGTAAACCAGTGGGTCTAGAGGCAAAGACGTTGAACACTAGTATCAGGAAGCTAGAATTAATACGCCAGTAGAAATTTCGTCACTGGTATTTATCCATAGAACTATAGGATCGCGGGGTGAAGACAGGGAATTCTAGAGGTTCCTCGGGACTCGTGAGGAAAGACATCACAGGCTAGCCCAGTGCGTTTCGGAGTAAAGGCATTAAAGAAGAACCACTGAGTCTCGTATTAAAGATAACAAAAATATTTTCACAGCTTGTCATTGCGGAATCCTTGCGTCCGCTTTTGGTTATCGATTCGATCGACTATATTCCGCATTAAAGTGGGTAAAATTTGTCGTCAACGGGCCATTACGAAATTACACTAGTTCTCCACTATTGGTGCTAATTGAAAGTTATGGGCTTTTTTGTTTTTGGCCTGCTAGAACGCGGATAATTGACTTGTCGGATTTGAAAATAGGCCGGCTCCGTGCAAACAGGAAATACGGGAATAAAACACTCCTTTCATCCAACAATAGAACTATTTAATGGAAAAAACCGGGTCGCGGATTTAAAGCCTCCTCCGCGTCAAATTCCTGTCCCTATTTTGGCCGAATTATTGCTTTTTAATATATAGCTTTATCATCTTGTTTCTTTTTCTTGTTTTTACTCGGAGAAGTTGGGAAATGTGCCATCCGATTGCGCAACGAGCCTCACCATCTGTCGGCGGGTTTCTAGATGAAATAGAATCGGCCCACCCACAGCCAGGGGAGAGTAAAACATAATTCTCGAATGGTGGACAAACCATTAAAATTATAATAAATGGAGAGAAATTTTTTCGAACCTCCCGTTCCCCTGCATCATGCCTATCATCAGGACACAACCATTAATTTGGTGACAGTAGCCATTCCCACCATCAGGAAACCATAAAAAATTAGTTTGTCAACAATAGTCATTCCCTTCATCAGGACACCATCACCAAAATAATTGGGTGTACAATAGCCGTTTTCATCATCAAGACACCATAAAAAATTAATTTGTTGACAATAGTCATTCCCACCGTCAGGACACCATCAACAATTATTTTGATGATTATCATCAGGACATCATAAAAAATTAATTTGTTGACAATAGTCATTCCCACCGTCAGGACACCTTCGACAATTAATTTAGTTACAGTAGCCGTCTCCATCATCAGTAAACATAAAAAATTAATTTTGTTGACAACAGTCATTCACATCATCAGGACACCATCAACAATTATTTTGATGATTATCATCAGGACACCTTAAAAAATTAACTTGTTGATAACAGTCATTCACATCATCAGGACACCATCACCAAAATAATTAGGTGTACAGTAGCCGTTTCCATCATCAAGATACCATAAAAAATTAATTTGTTGACAATAGTCTTTCACATCATCAGGACACCATCAACAATTAATTTGGTGCAAGTTGAGTACAAAGTGATTTTACTATAATCGCTATTGCCTGGAGATGGAAGTGTATCAGGAGAGATTTGGTAAAAACATAGTTTTTTTGTTGTGTTTTCAATGTGATGGGTAACTGTTCATCCATTTGCATTTGAATCACGGGCTCGGCCGTCTTCTTGCAGCCCTCGGTCCCCGGTCCACCGAGTGCTTTGTGTGTTCCTCTGCACCCCGTGGATCACTTCCGTCCAGAGAAAGGCCCCCGGGGCGTGGGCCCGGGTGTGGGTCGATCTGCCTGAGGACGTGGGCTTTGTCCTTGCCACGCCTACGGGCCCGATTCTGGGCTTCCATTCACAAAACCGCCTACACCGTCATCGGTACACGATCTGCCGATTTACAACCGGACGTCCCACGACAAGTGGCCCTCTCCTGGCGTCGAAACGTACGGTGGATAAAGCGTTTTTTACTATCTTCCATAAGGCCTTCCATTGTAGCGCAACGTCTAAAAATATCTCTCCCATGACCTCCTAGCCTCTTAATTCAAATGAGTAAACAGTACTTTGCTTTAAAACAAAGTTCTATCCTAGCCTACAGCTAACAAAGTTATATTAGGTCTTTAGTTGTCGTTACACTTCATTTTTGGACATTTATACTGCAAAGGTAGAATATTTTATTTTATTTAGGGGCTTATAAAAAGAACCAAGGTGCCGTCAAAAGCTAACAAAAACAACTCGATTTGTTAAAATGGTAATAAGCTCTGAAGAAAACCTTCATTGAATTGACCGACTTTTCATTAGTCCAATTCATCACTCTCAATACACTTCTCCCAACGCGATGGCAATTTCTTTACACCCTCTGAATAGAATTTCGAGTCATTATTATTAACAAGTTCTGTGAACGCATTTTCTAACGATTTTTGATCAATAAATTTTGTAAGCAAGTGGGGTCTGGGGAACTGGGAGGTTGAGGCAGAATCCCATAACCTTGATCTAATAGTTTTCGTGTGTCACTTGTGATTGTCTTGTAACTGCATTTTCCGATTGACCAAAGGATGGCTTCAATAATGCCATCTGGTGCATTGCTTCTATTTGAGAGCAATACATTTGGCAGTGTGATCATCAGCTTTTTTTGATGAGTTGTTGGCTTTGGACAGTATGATGACCTCCTCCAACGTCTACTGTTATCGTAGAGAATCACTTTTCAACACAAGTAACAGTTAAATTCACTAATTTCGTGGTCCGCTTGACCAATTCATATATTACAATTAATTAAGGTTTTTAGTTGAGATAAAAATGGCAAAAAGGAGGGAAAATTCAAGAGGTGCGGTTGAGATGGGAAGTTTGTGTCTGTTTGGTAAGACACAAAACCTCGAGGAAAGAAATGCTTCCACGACTATAGCCTTTAAGGTTAAACTCTCAATCTCGAAATTTTTTTAAACCATTTCTGAACAGTGATCTCACTCTCAGTGCCAGTGCCACAGACTTCATTAATGTTTCTGGCCGCTTGGGCACCGTTCCGACCGATTTTAAACTCTTACTCGAAAATCACGCGTTGAAATGTTAATAAAGGTAGGTAAGTTGATGGGTATTGGTCTGCGAGTCGGTGTTGAACTCATGTTGAACCGGAACAGGGTAATTAACTGTCTTGAGGAACTCTCCTTCCTGTCCCTGAAGATGGCGCAATGCCGAAACGCGTTTGCCGGTTCAACATCTTAGTAAACACTGATATTCCCAAGTGACGAAATGCTACCGATGTAAACATTAGCATAAAGTGTTTACATTCTTACTAACTAAGGAAAATAATAAGTCGTTCTATCCATTGGTCCTGAACAATCAGCAAAATTAGAAAAACATAGGCAGAAACATGTCTACTGGAAGGCTATACTAGCGCCTGGGGAAATAAGCTAAGACGATCTTTGAATAAAGAAAGTTTAGTTTAAAATTATATCTTTTGGATCGTTGTGAGAGAAAGGTATACTTTTGTCACCTGTGATTCTGGTAGAAAAAAATTAAAGATGTATAATTTTTTCGGATAATTATTTCATAATAATGAAATGGATCGTGGTGTCGAGAAAGAGGTGAACCGAAAGGTTAGTTGTCCCACGCCTTATTTCTTTTAGGGAAAAGAGGATCAGTTGAAAAAATATTGAATTTATTCGTACAAATTAGAAGGAATTAGGACTGATTTTTTTTTAATCCGGCCCGGAGGACCAATGTAACAACCTTATACATCTCTCCCTTCGTTTATTTTAATTTCTAATTTTTCATAATTTTATTAACTTTTCATTCCCATTTTTTTCTTTTTGCTTTCCACGGAAGTGGCCGTAACATTGGTCCTCCGGGCCGGATTAAAAAAAAATCAGTCCTAATTCCTTCTAATTTGTACGAATAAATTCAATATTTTTTCAATTGATCCTCTTTTCCCTAAAAGAAATAAGGCGTGGATTATTTCTTTTAGGGAAAAGAGGATCAATTGAAAAAATATTGAATTTATTTGTACAAATTAGAAGGAATTAGGACTGATTTTTTTTTCAATCCGGCCCGGAGGACCAATGTTACGGCCACTACCGTGAAAAGCGAAAAGAAAAAATGGGAATGAAAAGTTAATAAATTTATGAAAAATTAGAAATTAAAATAAACGAAGGGATTATAAGGTACTTGCCACCTTCCTTCAGACGACGGCTGCACGAAGCATAGGGAGCTCGGGCCCGATTCCCCTGACCTCGCCCGAGAATCTCGGATGATTTTCAGGTAGAAGATAACGATTTCGAAGCACAGAGGGTGTTCGGAGAGTCGCGTAATTAAAGACTTTTTTTTATTAATAAGAAAGAGAAAAGCAAGAGAAAAGAGAGGCCTGAGGAACCTTTCGATCATAGAAGAACAGGACTAGTTCTGTTAGGAGCGTAGGAGCTGGATTGGGGATTACACTAATCCAAATCAAAGTATCTGTAAAATAAGATGGCAGGCCCCAACAGTTATAAAATTTAATGTTTTCGCAACCTCAATAGTCAGCAAGTCGCCCTTTCCAGAAATACTGCGGTATGCGAACCGTCTCAGGTTTGTGCAAGGTTCGATGGCATTGTTCGCGAACAATAGGGACCGTTTTCCCAGATGAGTCTAAATGCAATCGAAAACACCGCTTTTTACCTTTTTTCCCACCCAAAGAAGTGTTTCCAGTCTGACGGGGCACCGCGTGGAACGAAGATAGGAATGCGCTGCGCCTTTCTAGCCCACTTCTGTAAACAAATAGATGTCTCGTAAACATTCTCCGAAGAGGGAAATGTAAAACCCTGTTTAGAAACTCCAGGGGGAAGAGAAAAAAAAGCAGATGTGCAAAACAATTCCGAAATGCCTAAAGCCATAAACCTAGTGCCGTCCTTTTAAAAGTTTCCTTTAGTTCGTAGGTCATGTCATTATGCTGTTTATGTTTCTGTTTATGTTTCTGTTTATTGACCAATTGTATGTTTATACTATTTCTTAAAGTTATGTATCTTATGTTTCAGAGTACGGTAGGAGGGAGTGCTGTGTTTATTTCAAACTGCAGCTTGACGCGGATCTGGTGCACACCCTCGTCTCCATCTACCCGGAGTGGTTCGGAGAGAAGGCTCCAGCGATGGAGCCATCTCCAGGAGTCGACGAGTCCCCTCTCCATTCCCACATGGATAAGAATAAAGAATGTGAGTACGTTGGGAACCTTTACCGGGCCGGGTGCCACGGGGCGTTTGGCACAGGGGGCGTCCGCATATTTTGGCACGTTACACAGGAAAAAAGAAGCGACCCCGGTGCCAGGCCCCCCTCGGAACTAGGCCTGCTTAGTCAACATGATTATGAGTATGATAAGAAAAGAAATTGTAAAACCGCATAAAAAGACCGTGCAGAGAGCTCATTACTAATGATTATTCCTTCCTTTGACGTTTTTTGTGATTTATCGTAGCGGTGCCTGCATACCGGTATTAGTACGCTGTCTTGATGTTATCGTTTGATTTAGGACCTCTCGTCATGGAACATGTGCAACGGTAAAGGCCATTCATTTTCGACAACAATCCCGTTAAGATTTAAGTTACGTTGTCCAAAAAGTCAAAATAATTCCTTAAAAAACTATATTAATAGTATTTTGTCCAATATTATATTATCAATTTTATTATCTGTTAAAAGTCATAAGTAAAGAATATCCCAATGACTGCATCTTATCAATTATATCTTTCTGGAACAAAGGGACATATTTAGAAAATACTACCTACCATTCCATTCTGTCTTCCTATTTCGGAGTCACATGGATGACCTCTTGCTGTATTCTGTCATGGAGTAGAATAGTCCCTCTTGGAGGACTTCCTGCCCAATATTGTTTCCCCAGTACAGAATTAGAAGATAAGAGAATCCTGACCTGCTCCATTCTGTTTTCTATTACGAAGAAAAATAGTCCCTCTTGGGTGACCTCTTGCCCACATGTGCTTCCCAGCACTGAAGGAGAAGTTAATGGCAATCATGACTTCCTGTTCTATTCTATCATTAGTACGGAGTCTCATGGAAGACCTGCTCCATTCTGTCTGCTAGTACGAGTCTCATGGATGACCTCCTGGCTCTAATCTGACTATTAGTACGGAGTTTCAAGGAAGACCTCTTTCTCCATTCAGTCTGCTAGTACAGAGTCTCATGGATGACCTCTTTCTCCATTCAGTCTGCTGGTACAGAGTCTCATGGATGACCTGCTCAATTCTGTCTGCTTGTACTATCTCATGGATGACGTCCTGCTCTACTCTGTTTGCTAGTACAGAGTCTCATGGATGACCTTCTCCATTCTGTCTGCTAGTACGGAATCACATGGATGACCTCTTTCTCCGTTCTGACTTCTGGTATGGAGTCTTATGGATGATCTCCTGGCTCTAATTTGTTTATTAGTACGGAGTCTCATGTAAGACCTCCTGCTCCATTCTGTCTGCTAGTACAGAGTCTCATGGATGACCCTCTCCATTCTGTCTGCTAGTACTATCTCATGGATGACGTCCTGCTCTACTCTGTTTGCTAGTATGGAGTCTCATGAATGACCTCCTGCTCCATTCTGTCTGCTGCTAGTACGGAGTCTCATGGATGACATCTTTCTCCATTCTGACTGCTAGTACGGAGTCTCATGGATGACATCTTTCTCCATTCTGACTGCTAGTACGGAGTCTCATGGATGACATCTTTCTCCATTCTGACTGCTAGTACGGAGTCACATGGATGATCTTCAGCTTCATTCGCTTCATTCTGTCTACGAGTACGAAGCAGAAGAATGCCTGTGGGCGGCATCCTATCACCGTTATCCCTTCGTAATACCTAATACTCGTTTTGAAGAGTTTCCGTCACATTGTGTAATTGAATAGAATAATGACTTTTGATGTCCTGTTCTATTCTGTCCTCCTGGCAGTACCATACCTCGTGGAAAACATTCTGCCCCCGTTCTTTGCCACGTCAAATGGTGGCTGGCACACATCGTATCAAGTAGTTTCGTTACGAATAAATGTCTTCCTCCCATGAATATATCTTTCAATTAACAAGTGGCCGAAGCGCTCGACCATGCAGGACAAATACGTTGAGATGTTCAGGGTTTCAGAATCTGTAATCGTGGGATGGGAACGTTTCCTCCCAGACTCGACATAACGGCAAAACCTAATTTACATCATCCGAGTGAAGGATTCTCCATATCCTAGTTTCACTTTTTTGCCCTTGATAGAAAAGGGGATCCCCATGTCGATCGTGTTGTTCGATACGTACATAATTTCTTCAATTTAGAGGTCTACTTCGGGTGCAGAATTGATTTTATAAGAGGTCTTTTTGAATTCCCCATTGTCTCATATTACTTTATTTTTATTATTATTTTTTTAAATTAATTTAGAGATGGTCGAATTATGAATTTACCTGGGTCTGGGATGGTGGTGCTGTATTTTTAAACCCCGTGGTCAACACCTCGTGTCTAATTCGAACACGGCCGACGAAACACGCTTATTCTCCACGCTACGTTAATCCACTTCATCGTCCTTGCCTGCCTTTAATCTACAAGAGTTTGGGAAAACTAAGGCGCGTCCCCTTGCCGTCCTTTCATCTCTATGTGTACTAATGCTGTTTCAGCAGTAAATACTGATTCGGGTTTGTTTGGCGACCGGACATCAGAATCCCATCCTTCAACAGCGATTTGAAGCAGCGCTTGTTGGAGACGTCGAACGATGCCTATACCGTCTCTTTATCATGTCCCAGAAGTGTTCTCTGGGATTCATGTCAGCAGAACGAGCTTGCCAATTCATTATTATAATCCTTACTTCGTCCAAGTAATGGGTGACAAATCGACAATAACACGTTATCCGCAATAAATGGAGCAAATAAGACCAGAACTTCCAGAACTTCCTCAATGTACCTTAGTCAAAGATCCATTACTTATGATAATCAGTTCGGTGCGGGTATGAGTTGATTCCGTGCCATAACTGACCATCTAGGCTGTTACTCACGTATGGCACATGAAGCAACTGATTGCCAAAAACCAAACCGGCACTCAGCAGTGAAGAGACCCCCCAATTGTTCAAGTGTCCAAGAGAGATACTGATTTGCGAGTAGTCGCCTTTCTTCTCGATGTTCCTGTAATGAAGAACCTGTTGGGGGACGTCTACAGACTAGGCTGTTCTCATGAAACCTTCAGATGACTTTTCTATACACAACTTTACATTACGGACCGGAGTTGACTATCTGTGAAGAAAGTCGTTAAATTACGGTTGCGTTGTGCGGTAAGAGTAATAAAACGATCTATCGTATATCGCGGTCGACCCCCTACCTTCCACTGGCCCTAAACCGCTGTAGACCATCGTGGACGGTAACGCGGAACACCCTGGGCTTGGGCTATAGTCGTCACGTCCATTTGCCAAAGTATCTTCGTAAACTATTGTGAATAGAACTATCTTTTCCAAAAAAGTGAATAAATACAAGTGTCCAAAACACACCCCTTATCGCCTCCTAATAGCCAGGAGCTATAGCCACCTTTTTAACTGATATTTTAAGCTACCAAATATGATGTCACTTCTCTCTTTGATGCCTGGTACTTAGACCCTCAAAAACACATTCATTTAAATTCGATATAATTCCCTTATGTTTATATATCTTGATTCCTGAGCTTTGAATAAGCTTTTATGGCTCAAAATGCGATATAACTCCCCCTCCAGCTTGGCAGGAGCTTCATTAACTGTAGAGAATTTTATTTATCACCCAAAGCAGTATACTTGTGCTATCTTTTTATGCCATAAAGTATGATGTTCTTTTTCTCTCTCTTGCCTACTGATATAGAAGGCCTTTCAAACGCCCAATTTCGGCTTAAAATGAGTTCATACAACTCCTGTGTTTTCTTGCTTCCTACATAGGAGCTTCGAACAAGCTTTTAAGGCTTAAAATGCGTCATAACTCCTTTTTTTTCTTGCCCCTTGATTCTGAGGAGCTTCAAAACACCTCCCTTTTCTTTTTTGACGTAAAATTCGAAAAAATAAAGCTTCAAAAAGTACTTTTACCATCTAATAACGTGTCAAATCTTTCTAACACCCCTGATACAGAGGAGCTTGAAAGTTGTATGCCTCAAAATGCGATTAACCTCAAAAGCTCCGGCTTGGCAGGAGCTTAAATAACTGAAGAAAATTTCGTTTATCAACCAAAGCAGTATACTTTTGCTACCTTTTTATGCCATAAAGTATGATGTTCTTTTTTCCTTTCTTTCCTACTGATACATAAGCCGTTCCAAACCCCCAATTTCGGCTTAAAATGGGTCTAAAAATTGTCTTAAATTCTATATAACTCCCATCATTTTTTACTTCCTGATACATAGGACATCCAGCATACATTTTCATCTTAAAATGGGTCTAAAAATCTTTAAGTCTGTATAACTCCTATCTTTTCTTGCTTCCTGATACATAGGACGTTTCAAACATCCATTTTCATCTTAAAATGGGTTTAAAAAAATCTTTAAATCTATATAACTCCTATCTTTTCTTGCTTCCTGATACATAGGACGTTTCAAACATCCATTTTCATCTTAAAATGGGTCTAAAAAATCTTTAAATCTGTATAACTCCTATCTTTTCTTGCTTACTGATACATAGGAACTTCGAACAAGCTTTAATGCCTCAGAATGCGATATAACTTCCTCCGGATTGACAGGAGCTTCATTAACTGTAGAAAATTTTGTTTATCACTCAACCAGTACACTTTTGCTACCTTTTTATGCCATTAAGTAACATGTTATTTTTCTCTTTCTTTCCTACTGATACTAAGCTTTTCCAAACGCCCAATTTCGGCTTAAAATGGGTCTAAAAAAAGTCTTAAAATGTATATAACTCCCATCATTTCTTGCTTCCCGATATATAGGACGTTTCCAGCATCCATTTTCATCTTAAAATGGGTCTAAAAATCTTTAATCTATATAGCTTATATCTTTTCTTCCTTCCTGATACATAGAACGTTCAAACATCCATTTTCATCTTATTTAGTCTAAAAATTCTTTAAATCTATATAACTCCTATCTTTTCTTGCTTCCTGATACATAGGACGTTTCGAACATCCATTTTCATCTTAAAATGGGTCTAAAAAATCTTTAAATCTGTATAACTCCTAGCTTTTCTTGCTTCCTTATACAGAGAACGTTCAAACATCCATTTTCATCTTAAAATGGGTCTAAAAATTTTTTTAAATCTATATAGCTCCTATCTTTTCTTACTTACTGATACATAGGAGCTTCATTATCTGTAGAGATTTTTGTTTATCACTCAACCAGTACACTTTTGCTACCTTTTTATGCCATAAAGTTCGATGTTCTTTTTCTCTTTCTTTCCTTACTCATACATTTTGCCTTTCAAACAATCAATTTCCTCTTAAAATGCTATTTAACTCCTTTCTTTTCTTGTTGCCTGATACATAGGAGCTTCAGCTGTTTGTAAACCTAAAGCCTAATACAAAGTAATATACTTTGACTTCACTTTTATACCTCACCATTTACTGTACTGTAAATTACTGAGCTTTCTGAACTCCTGATAGATTTCTTTCCGTGTCTTACGTTTTTTATGCCTGGTATAAAGGAGCTTTTTTTTCACTCAGTCAGTTTTCATTGTTTCCATTATAAAATCTAAACCAGTTGGTATGCCCTTCAATTTGTTCTTGTTGGCACAGGCCTAGAGTGACGTTTCATTTCAGAAAACTGACAAGTGCCAAACAACGTGCGTGTGTTTTTTTTATATGCACCTCTGCGTCCTAGAAACGTCATCTAATGTAAATCCATTTGTGTTCTAGCATTGAAGGTGAAGCTGATGCTGAGGAGGCCGATCAATCAGCTCGTCGCCCAAGGAATAATGCCTCGTAAGTGTTTTCAGATGATTTTTTTTTCTGAATTTTTTTGAAGTTGAATGAGAGGAATCTCATCTTGTTACAAATATGTATTTTTTTTATAAATTAAAAAAAAAAATTGTAAATAGCTGATGTCAGAGGTGGTTGGTTGTCAGCCATTATACCGAGATCAAGCATTGTTAGTTTATTTTCATTCTCCCCTTGGCCGGTTTGTATCATTTCTCTTCCCCGATTTTGACCCCGGTCCTTATTCCAGCTCTCAAGACGCCACCCGGCTTCCACGAACAACGGCAGAAGTTGGAGCGTGCCAAGATGGGCGACCTGCTCAAGGCCAAGATACAGCAGAGGCCGGACCGTGAGGAGTTGGTGAGACAGCACATCCTTGAGGATGTCGGGCACGTTGACCCTTCGCTCGCGGAACGCCAGCGCATGCTGAAGAAATGCCGGCTTGCGGATTCGCTCAACGATCAGCTGTCGCATCGTCCCGGTCCGTTGGAGCTCATCAAGAAGAACATCCTACACACTGAAGAACCCATCGAAAGAGCCATCAAAGGTAACTAAACAACATCCGAAATATTTATGCCTTTACTAATTGATAATTTGTGTGTTATTAGAGGGAGCGCTGGAGTTTAAGGCTACGAGTGAAGGTACGGCCACAAAACCGACTCATCCGGATCATTATATGCTGGATGAAGACTCAGGAGGATCTCTGTCTCCACCACCTTCTTCAACTTCTGTGCAAAACTCACCAGCAACACCCCAGGTAGGTTGAATCTTAAAGAAAATTATTCAAAGTGGATATTGAGAGTTTTGTTTAGCCTGCACCTACGCCCGTGGTGATAGCAGCCGCACCGGCATCAGATGAGACACTGGTGACGTCGAGTACGTCCTCCCCGATGACGAACCTTGTCACGGTGCTCCTCCCGCCGAACACGGCATTCACCCTCCCTGCCGCTGCGGTACCTTCGTTTCGCCAGGCGACAGTCCAGCAGAACGGCCAGCAGGCGTCACAGGTCTCCTCGTCGTCTCTCAAGGACAAGGCGAGGAAGAAGTCCAAATCAAAGGTGTTGCCGAAGGCCCGCACGATCAAATTCCATGAATACAAGGGGCCGCCCAATGCCCAGAAGAATTCCCAGCAGAGCTCCTCGTCGATCGAAACCTCGTACGAGCTGTTGCTCCAGCAGCAGCAGCTGTTCCTACAGTGGCAGCTCGAATGGCAGCACAAGTACCCGCAGATACTCCTGCCCGCGTCGCAGAAGCCCGTTGCATCGCCTTCGAGCAGCAGCAACGGGGGGAGTAGTATCGACATGTCCCCCGCCCCTCCTCCTCCACCACCTCCCTTGCCTCACAACAGCCCTCCTCCTCCACTCAGGAACCTTGAGGACATGAAAGTGAGTGATCTCAAAGCTGAATTGAAAAGGAGGAACTTGCCCGTCTCCGGTGCCAAGCCGCAGCTGATCGAGCGTCTCAAGCCTTTCAGCGAGTCCGCCAATGGCACATCCTCCGTCACCTCCACTGTGCAAAGCTCATCTCAAGAAGACTCAGTACCTTCAGGTATATCACAATACAATTATAATAAAATAAATATTCTAAATCAATTCGTAACAGTTTGCAGCGTCACGTCATCAGGTCAGGTAAATTCGACGATCGTAATGGACACGACTGAATCTCCCGTCAGCCCACCGTCGCCGGCCTCGATTGGCCGCGTTTCACCCAAGACTACGCAGACCCAAGAGGAGGAGATCATCAAAGAGCAGCAGCGCAAAATCGACCAGCTGGAACGGCAGCTGAGTCACCACATCCAAAACAATACATTCCAGCAGCAAACAGTGACAAACGCCAAAGCGAACCTAGCTGCTTTCCTCCAGCAACAACAGCTCAATCATCAGCAGCAACAGCTCCAGCAGCAGATCATCGCTAACAACAACAATAACAACATTATCAAAATGGAAAAGACTGAAGACAACAGGTATTTTTTGGCATTGCTGGCATCTTTGGTGTCATCAATCATCGTACGCATTTTCAATATTAAATGTTTCATTTACAGAACTGTCTCCCTGCCAAACTTCATTGGCACATTTATGACAAATGGACTGAGCGATTTAGTATCATCGGACGATATCTTTGACGCACATCCGAGCAAGTTTGACGTCAAAACGGAAAACAAACAGGTATTGTTTTTTCTTTTTTGTCTTTTTACGAGGAGCGGTTTGATTATTTGTCTTTTCCAACAGGCACCACTCGAACAGGATGTTAAATCGCAGATAGTCGACGACGTTCTCGAGATCCTGATCAAAAACGGCGAACTGCCAGCGTCGGCCGCCGCCGAACCGCTCGAGCTGTCATCACTCCAGATGGAGGGAATGGACGTCGACCAGGACCTTATGGAGATAGACACCGACTGGCTCGATTCGCTCATCTCCGGCGGGAACGGCGGCTGCACTACAGGCCAGGGAGACCCGTTCCTAGGCGGGCCGCCGTCGCCGCAGACCGGATTCGACCTCTTCATCGACGACCCGGAATTCAAGGTGGTCCATTCCAACCCAGACTGGGACCGAATCGATTTTGCCATTTAACACCAACGACCCAAATGTCAAATCGTCAACAATAATCATTATAATTTAGTTAATTTTATTAAGGACATTTATTTTTCCTGGCTTCCATGCTTTATAGGTGTTTATGTAAATAATTTTTTTTTTTTAATCTAAAGTTTCTAAATAAAAACTGTTTTTTTTTTTTTTCTTTTTTTAAAAATAAATATAAGCTATCTTGCAAATTTTCAAGCAAGGCAGGCGCTCAAAAATATTTTTAAAAAATAAAACAATTTTGGATTGTATATTTGAAATTTTGTAAATATGAATTTATTATTTATAAGGAAAATAATTTTTAAAAAAACAAGCCTTAGGTTAATTAATAATCAAAAATACACAATATATAAATATATCGGATATAGATTTTTTTTTTAAATTTGTAAATCCACTTATACGTATGAACGGTTTAAAAAAAATTCTATTAAATGAGATTAACAATAATTGCAACGAAAGTGAATTTAGTATAGTTTTTGTTTAAAAAAAAGAAAAACTGCTCATCGGACGTTCCAAGTTTCTCGTTAATTATTTTATAGTGAAAAACATCCCGTACCAGCCCTCGTTCACCGCCGGCCACCGCGTACGTATCACAAACATTCCAAAGGCCTAACTCATATTCTTCCTCCGGTTTTCCTCTTTTTTTTTTTTTTTTTTAAACTTCATCATACGCGAATCAAAGACAAATTTCGTAGAGTTTGACCTCGCAACCAGCCAAAAAAAACACTGTATAATGGCATAAACTCAATATCATTTAATTCGCTTTTTCTTTCTTTTAAATCATCGACATTCCAAGCATTCCCTTATTTTTTATTTTTTAAAAATCCAATTTTACAAAAATTCGCTCACTGCCTGAATTTTTCTGATTTTTTGGGACCATTTGGATTCTTTTCATCCCCTCCTCCTCCATGACAAAAAAACTTACCTGTACTGTTGATTTGCACAGTATGAAATAATTTATATATTGGAAATATATAAAAAAAAATTATATACATTTAGGCTTTAAGGAATTTATTAAATTAATAAGTAATTTTTAAGCAAAAATGTAACATTTTAATTGTAATTATACATTAAAAAAAAAAACGAAGTTATTGCTTCATTGCGGCGCATGTGGACCTCTGTGTATATATATTTGTATCGAAGTCTGTTATATGTGAGAGAAACTGTCGAAAAGGGACAATTTTCATTGTACTTATTGTATTATAATTTCAAAAAAGAAAAAAAAATCATTATCAAAAACACGTTTATTTTTTTTATTATGAAATAAAAATCCCTATCCAATATGTAATATGCTTCTGATGTGTATTTCTGTATGTATGCTAAGTACTCGCAGGGGGTTAAGGTTAAAAACAGTCAGCTTTTTTCCGACCGCACTGTGTCCATTGGTCTACCGTGCATCTTTTTATCAAGAATTGTTTGTTAAGCTTTAAGCTGACATAAAAATCTTTATTTCGACACACAATAAATTCTTGGGGGGGGGGGGGGCAACGGTTTAGGCATTGACACGGCGCTCATCACTGTAAGGTAAAGGTCCCAGGTTCGAATCCAGCGGTCCTGCATTCGAACCCTACATGCTTACAAATAGGCTTTTTTTCAAAAACACAGGCACCCCGAAGGTTGATGTAACCTCTGCTGTTGCGAACCCTGGTAAAAAAAAAAAAAAGCTTAGCATGGGGTGTCGAATCTCACATAAATGGGCATTTGTTGCGAACACATGGAACGCTCGGACAAGAGCAATTTTACGATGGAAGTATCGCCGCTATAAACTAAGAAGACCGTGACAGAAATATTGGGTCCGTCCTATTTTAAGAGTTAGATTCTCAAAATGTTCATTACTCTACCAAAAATTAAGTGATTACGAACCAAAATTTTGTCAATTAACTAAAGAAGATTTTTTGCACTTGATTAAGGGCGATATTTAATAAAGGCTTGAGTGTGTGAGGGATTCCATCTAGAAGAAAAACTCGTCATAAATCATCGATACTGTTGACTTTAAAGAACAAGACTGCATCAATTTTTAAAAATACACCGTAGAATAAAACAAAAGCTCCAGACATTAAACAAATTTAAAAAAGCTTCAGAACATATGCTTGTGTCCTAGAAAATCATAAAAGTATACTGGCATCCTCATAAGATCTGGTAGCCAAGTAGCCATTAAAGCATTAGCATGTAAAAAATTACATCAAAATTAGTCAGTGCAACCAAAATCTCCAAAACCTGGGGAAACACAACAACCTGATGGTATCTTGGGTGCCAGGTCACAGAGGAATTTTGGGTAACGAAAAAGCAGACAGACTGGCCAGGGGAGGATCTCTAAGACCATGTAAAGGACCCGAACCTATACTTGGATAACAAAAACAAATAAAGAATCCTCCATCGCAGAATGGATCCAAACAAAACAAAAGAAGTGGATAAACTCTAGCGACTACATCCTGAAACACCTGCATTACATCAACATACACTGTAGCTGCAAAGGAGAATGCAGTAGGAAATCAAATACAATGATACAGAATGCTCCAAAACAAATAAAGGAACCGGAATACAGGCGTTTTGTGAACAAACACAAACTTATTATGGAATTAATTAAGGTTTTTAGTTGAGATAAAAAAAGTCAATGGCACTAGCGTGATTCGAACCCACGATCTTCGGCTTGATACGCCGCTGCTCTACCAGTTGAGCTATCGTGAACTCGATCCGCTCGGACATCAACTTCCCATCTCAACCGCACCTTTTGAATTTTCCCTCCTTTTTGCCATTTTTGCCTCCTTTTTGGGCACTCTCAACACGACACACAATAATGGCACAATTACACAGAAGACAAACATTTTGAGCCCTGAAGATGATCTCAATAAAGATCGAAATGTTTGCACGATAAAGAAAATGTTTTTCTGAAACATACATCACACCAGACTGCATCTCACGATTTCCGAATAATTAATTAGTCAGTGAATGCATCCAAAATCTCCAAAACCAAGGGAAACACAGCAACCTGATGGTACCGTCGTTATCAGGATGCAAAGGAAATTTTGGGTAACTTAAAGGCAGACAATCTGGCCAGAAAAGGATCTGCTAGATCTTATAAGAGGGTAGTCCCAAATCATGGGTCAAAAATTTAAGATCTCATAGGAAATTGAACGCTGAGTAAAAAAGATCCTATAGACCTGGGTCCAGAAAGCCTTCAATACAGAGCTAGGGTTAAAAAGACCTTATTTGTGAAATGGTAAGCAAACCACTCCTATACCGAGGCCCTGAATCTATACTTGGGATAATAAAAACAAATGCAGAATCCTCCATCACCTAATGGATCCAAATAAAACAAAAGAAGATATGGATAAGCTCCAGCCATGCTAGACACAGTAAACTTATGCTGAAACAACCCTCACTGAGACTGTCAAACTTACTGCTGTATTTGGAGAGGACCAGACTGAGATGAGTGATAGGACTATTAACTTGCCAGTGACATCTGAGAAAACATGGGCATACACAATCCCAGATCTGATTGTGTAATGAGGAGGAAGAAACTGCCACCGATATCATCTTCCAATGCGAAGCTTCTATGTAGGCATAACCTAGCATACAGGAAAAAAACCTAGGGAATGAAATGGTATCGGCAACAGTCAATGACCTAACACTTCTGCGACGGATTGAGTTGATTGCACTGAACTAGGTAACTAGGAAGGTACACAATAAGCCAGAAGGCTGCAGTGCCTGTGGAGCACAAACCCCGCTTCCTACTTTCAACATCCATACCATGCTGCGATGTTGAACTGCTCAACGGTGAAACCACCATCAGTGAAATGTGAAGAAGTGGTGGCTGATGAAATGTACTTATTTGTGACGGTTGTGACAGATTAGCTGTAATAAATATAATAATCACTACACTCCACGTTCCACAATGCAGGTTTTTTTCCATTTTGTCAATCAGGAGAAAGGTATATCAACAAGTTACATTTCTGTCATGATGAGCGGGAAAAAAAGAATATTCTCGAGTAAAATGCATGTTCATCTGAAGTCAGATTACTTCCTTGCTATCTTGACTCAGACAGCAAAACGTGCATACTGAGTGGGAATCTAGAATCACATGATACCATACGTACACTCTACTTTGAATTAGCACTTCAATCGTACTAGGCCTTAAGCCAGGACCACATTTACCCGATGCGACGCTACCCGATGCTACCCGACGCCTTACCACGTTTTGGTAGGGTGTGCACATCTATCCGACGCAAGCACACGTCGCATACAGTCCACAGCGTTTATCACAATCGCAATGCATCTTTTGTTCTTAATGCACTATTTTGAGCAAAATCTTGTAATAAATTGTTAGTTAAATTTTATGAGCACAACCATCTAATAAATTATTTGTTAAACTTAATTGTTTTAAATAAAGTTACTCCTAACCATCATAATTAAACAATGTTTATAAAAACTTATGCAATTTTTATCTCGTTTAATTTGGTTTACTTGAAAATAACATGTTCTAATTAATATAATGACAAAATTACATTATGCTACCCGACATTACAAAATGGTGTAATTTTACGAGCAAAACTATGAAATAAATGGTTAATTAAATTTTATGAGCAAAACCGTGTAATAAATTGTTCCAATTTTAGTATATGTACCGCCGAAGCGAGTACAATAAATTGTTAGTAAAATTCATTATATTAAAAAATCATATTCCGCTGTTTTGATTAATTTTCTATCAAACCATTAAAATTAATTTTTTAAATAAAAATAATTAATTTTTAATCACATTTAATTTGGTTTATATTAAAATAAGTATGTTGTAATTAATATAACGACAATAATACATGTAGTTTGAATAAAAATATGAGTGTCCGGTTCTTTTGTCTTCGACTGTACTCGATGCAACCCAACGAAAATCTGGACAGTGGGGATCGCAGAGCGTCGGGTAGGTAGTGTGGCATAGCATCGGGTAGATGTGCACGGGGGTAATGCAACCTTATGGAAAATCGGAGTTTGGATTTGCGTCGGGTAGCATCGGGTAGATGTGCACGGGGGTAATGCAACCTTATGGAAAATCAGAGTTTGGATTCGCGTCGGGTAGCAGTGTGTTTCTGGCTTTAGGCTTTTTTATGAGATCCTAAAACTGTTAAGTCCCTCAGCTTATTCTCTATTAAGGAGTACTTTGTTTTTACCAACTCAGCGGATAGTGCCCACAAGGCACCTCAACCCGAGATCTATTGTGTTCCTCTATTTCACCAGGCAGATTCTTTAGCCAATGACGGACGTGGTTTGGATCTGCTTCCTGGGGTGTCCACAATGGTCTACGGCTATTTAGGGTTAACGGAAGTCTCGATCGAAAGGTAGTGGTTGACATAGAGATCATGTTATTGCTCCCACCACACTATGGAACCATCATGTCAGTCGACTCCAAACGGTCCGTCATGTAAGGGCGAGCTCTAACAAAAGAAATTAGAAGGTTTCATAAGAATAACTTAGTCTTTAGAAATCACTTGACACGACACTACACGTCTCACCTTGCTTGGCCACTTGAACGGTTGCGGGGTGTTCTCGTCACAGAGCCAATTTCGGTCAGTTATGGTATGGGGTTGAATCGCTGTACAAGCCCGTGCCAAACTATCACATAGATCTTTCACATTGAGTTCCTCTGGAAGCTTTTGTCCCGTTAACTCCATTATGTTATGCATAATAATGTTCTACCATACGTACCTCGAGTTGTCACCGTTTCTTGGAAGATGTAGGGATTGCCACAATGAATTATTAAGAACAAAACCAGGTAATAAAAAATAAATAAATAAACATTAATTAATTTTTATTTGTCTTAAATAATAAAACATTACATACAAGAAACAGGCTATTATTTTAACCATTTCATTTTTTAAGAAACAGAATTGTTAACAATAATTTAAAATATGACAGTTTATTTCTTACCTGGTCTCATTAAAACACTAACAACAATAATAATTAAACTAAAAAAAATTAAACAATTATTACAAAACAGTGTTAAATTTTTACCCCAAACTAGTATTGTGTTTTGTTTTTGTTTAAATATACATATATATATTTTATTTATTATCCCATAAAATATTCGTTTGAATATAGCTTTTGGAAGGGCGGATGGGCAGATCGCTCCTCGTACAACATCATGTTTACAAACATTCGGATGAAACTGTGAAAAATAAATTTAGGAAAAAGGTTGATCCGTCGATCCCACGTTGACGGCGAAGGATGGCCGGTGGATGATCTGCCCGATAGAGCACCTGGAGACAATGCAGACTTGTTTTCTTTGTTTCACCGTCGTTAAAATAATTGACATTTACCTGAGGACGAGTTAGACGGATAGCGAGACGAAGCTGTTATACTGGGTGATGTTGCGTTTCAGGATGTCTGCGCACGGGCCTAGCACCCTTTCGAATCTTGCCCGGTCCAGTTTGACGCATTTCAGCGGCCCTTTGGCGATCACAGTCGCAGCTCGAGGTCTGTCCAGAAGGAGAGCAATCTCACCTGAAAATCCAAGGAAATATAAAACAAACGTGAAATAATAGTTTATTTGAGTTATTTATATGATTTAGGTGTACTTAAACATTCGTGTAAGCAGGTTAAAATGATATGCTTCCTTCTAAACATGGCCAGATTGTTCAAAATACAAACATTCCAGTATGCTGCCTTGCACTACTCCTAATGAGACTGACTTGATTTTTACATCTTATCCATGATGTCAAGGTGTTCTTTACATCACTAAAACTCCTAATCTTAAAGTCACACTGATGATGAGATTTATTTGATTAGACACTTAAGACTTCATCACATTATACCTGTCTGCATTAGGAGTAGCACAAGGCAGAATATTGTAGCTTTGCTGAAGGACCGATTGGTTAATATAGTGAATTGCATCTTTTTACCCAGCACAGATAAAAATTGCAAAAGATCGTTCCAGTTCTCAAAAAAGGAGACAAGACAGACAAATATTTCTTTGCTGTCAGTGTTTGACAAGATCATCGAAGGGTACTTTACAACTGATTGCCTGAAGTTGTCAAAAAAAAATTGGATTTATATGTGAAAATCAATTCGGATTTAGAGAATCACTTTCGACAGATGTTCTGTGTAAAATATTTGGTAGCATGGCAGAATGAAAATCAAATAAACACAGTAGTGGGCAGAGCCTTGGATATTTACAAAGCTCTCGACTTTTGGGTTGAGCTAATGATCATTTTGCCTTTTATCTGCACAGTCGCCACATGAAGAGAAAATTCAGTGGGGAAACATCCTAATCAAGAATGGAATACCATAGGGTTCCATACTTGGCCCTCTCTTATTTTTAATATATATTATTGACTTGGTACAGAGCACTGGGGTGTACATTTTTATCTGTTTTTCTAAAACAGTAACTATCAGTTTCAGCGACTCCTTTTATTAACCACATTGTTAAAAAATAATTTATCTATTATTGTTTTTAGTATTTTTGATATTTTAATTGATATTTTTACATATTGTTTATTTACTATCAAGGATTTATAAAAAAAAAAATACGTACCAGATAAAAAATTATTTTTCAACGATGCAGTTAATTTATTGGGTTGTCCGGAAAATAATGCAGGATTTTAAGTTTTCATTAAAAAAAATCTATATAAAATATTCTGTTTACGTTTACAGGATTACTCATTTGTATGAATGTCAACACTTATTAATCCTCTTCCAAATGATATTGTTTGTTTACCTCTGTAGCATTCCGCTACTTGGAAATAATTCACTCATCCTTATAATGTCAAAGCGAGAATTTCGTACGATTTTCTTTTACGAGTTTAAACTCGGCCGAAGCGGAGCCCAAACGGCTAGAAACATTAACCAAGTCTGGGGCGAGGGTTGTGTTAATGAGTGCACTGTGCAAAGGTGGTTTAAAAAATTTCGGGAGGGAGATTTCAGCCTTGAAGATGAAGAAGGTCGTGGAAGGCCTTCCTCTCTTAATGATGATGTTCTGCGATCAGTGGTGGAAGAAAACCCCAAAACAACTGTTCGAGAACTTGCAGAGCAACTCAAAGTCAGTAAAACGACCGTCGCTGACCACCTCAAGGCGATTGGAAAAGTGAAAAAACTCCAAAATTGGGTTCCACACTCATTAAACGATCGCCAAAAAAATCAGCGCTTTGATGTTTGTGCATCACTTCTTTGTCGAAACAAAAATGACCCATTTCTGGCCAGAATTGTTACATGTGACGAAAAGTGGATTCTGGACAGTGGCTCGACAAAGGAGAAGCTCCAATACATTTTCCAAAGCCCCCAACTCATCAAAAAAAGGTAATGGTTACGGTATGGTGGGCTTCATTTGGTTTAATACACTACAGCTTCTTAAATCCTGGCGAAACCATCAATGCTGAATCATACTGTAACCAAATTAATACCATGCATCAGAAATTGGCAGTAATGAAGCCCTCTTTGGTCAATCGGAAAGGGCCCATTTTGTTGCATGACAACGCTCGACCACATGTGTCACGTGTAACGTCACAAAAATTATTGGAGCTTGGCTATGAAACTTTGCCTCACCCACCCTACTCTCCGGACCTCTCGCCTACTGACTACCATTTTTTTAGACACCTGGACCACTACTTACAACACATAATATTCAAAAATCAAACGGAACTGGAAAATGCATTTATTGACTTTATCAATTCTAAAAATTCTGAATTCTACTCAGACGGAATTAATAAGTTACCAACACGTTGGGAGAAATGTATTGAGAGTATGGGAAATTATTTTGATTAAAGAACATTGCTTTAAAGTAACTAGTTTCTTTTTTTTTGTTTAATACCAAAATCCTGCATTATTTTCCGGACAACCCAATAGTAAATAAAGTAAAATAAGTTTATCTGGCAAGGTTTTCTGCTATTTTATTTATTAAATGAACCACATTGTTGAAAAATAATTTATCTATTATTATTTTTAGTATTTTTGTTATTTTAGTTGGTATTTTTATATATTATTTATTTATTATCAAGGATTTATAAAAAAATACATACCAGATAAAAAATTATTTTTCAACAATGCAGTTAATGTAGTAAATAAAGTAAAATAAGGTTACCTGTCAAGGATTTCTGCTATTTCATTTTATTTATTAAATTAACCACATTGTTGAATAATAATTTATCTATTGTTGTTTTTAGTATTTTTTTATTTTAGTTGGTATTTTTATATATTATTTATTTATTATCAAGGATTTATAAAAAAAAAAAATACGCACCAGATAAAAAATTATTTTTCAACGATGCAGTTAATGTAGTAAATAAAGTAAAATAAGGTTATCTGTCAAGGTTTTCTGCTATTTTATTTTATTTATTAAATTAACCTTAACTGCATTGTTGAAAAATAATTTATCTATTGTTGTTTTTAGTATTTTGGATCTTTTTATTGGTATTTTTATAAATTATTTATTCAATATCAGAGATCTATAAACATATGTACCTGATAAAGAAATTGTAAACTCAGCCCTGATGATATTTGTAAATTAAACGAATGCTTGGCATAAAGTTGGGAGTTTCAATGTTTCAGTGACCTAATACCTGATTTTCACACATACGAAAGAAACTGTACTTTTGTAATTAACTTTTTTTATATTTTTGGGTTAAATTGTCGTATTTCGAATTTTCATATAACGAAAAATGAGGGGTGGCCTATAATTTTGTCGGGGAGTGTAATTTTTTTCTTATAAATAAAAGTCACTTTAATAATAAATATATACAAGTTAAAACATCGAACATGGATGGTTTGACATCGCTGTCCCATCCTTAGTCATGGATTAAGGTTGGTGAGATCCGCTCAATTTGCCATCGCCCCTTGAATTCTTGGATCCATGCTGTCAAATAATAAAAAAAGAAATAAAAATCCATTTTAATGAGTTTTGCCGTTGATGAAACGCCGAGGGTTTTTATCGATTGTATAACGTCGTAGGATCCTTTGAACCCGGCCGTTAATTAATAATGGAAAACTAATCATAAACCGCCCGCGGCCTGTATTAAAGCCTGATTCTTTTCTTTTTTAAAAACTTTTATTAATTCCTTTTATAAAGGAAAAGTACTCTAATCCGTAAAGTACAATTAAATGGAGGGGGGGGGTAAAAGACCATGAAAGCTGACTATCCGTCGACCGAGCGGAACAAGGCGGGCCCATTCGACCCCACGGCACACGGTGATTTATCATTGGCAAGATGTTTTTCTCCTAATTTCCAGCCGAATTCAAACACGCCTTTTGAATTGGAAAACATTTCAAAGCACTTTTAAAGAAAAAAAGACATTTCTCGTTTTCTAATCCGAAGCAACCGGGTTAATGTTAATTACCGCCCCTTTGATCTCAATGTTCGCACTGTTTCCCGAGTAACAACTCGACGAGGCTCTTTTCACCCTTGGCAATTATTCACGAGCGATTTTCAATCCGGACTTGTGAATATTCATAAGCGATAAATAGGCGAGGCGTTAATGAATCCGTTCGTTAGAGGAAAAATAATGACGAGACCGAGCGGACCGGCGATTGACACTCGAGAACAAACAGTTGACTGTAAACATTAAACTTTCGCCATCGATCGACTTAGAACGGAGTAAACAGAAAAGGGCGGAATTAAAGTGTACAGACTCCGCAAAACAAACATCGTCCGACAATGGAATTCGTTGGACAAAGTACCGGTGAGATTGTGAGAGCGAAAGCTAGACCTGGCGGATCCAGTTAGTACGGGTCATGGAACTCGCTGAGTATCCAGGCGGACTATTAATACAAATTTAATAATCAAATGTACCACTGCATTACTAAGACATTCCTCAAAACACTCCCACGTAAAAGGAATGGTCGAAGATGATCGAAGACTATTACGCATGGAAGTTTGTTGTAAAGGTTACTAGAAGCTTAGGAATAAATGAACACGGTCGGAATGTATGGAATAGGTTAAGATCATTTGGAATTGGTTGAGCCAATGCGATAGACAGTGGGAATAATACAGATGGCATATTCATTTGGAGATGGTTAGATATTGTTGGATACGATTAGGGATGGTGATGGAGTGGCAGCTAAGATGGGACGATTCATCTAAGGGACGTCACACATATCAGCTCCTCCTCAACATAGAAGATCGACTAAAGATGAAACCCTTAGTCATAGGCCAGTACGTGTCTCAACTACTGACAAGACATGGAGATTTTGCCGGAAAACTCCATGCCTTCAGACTTAAGCTCAACCCGATGTGTCTGTGTGTGGAGCAAGAAATGGTGGAACACGTAGTACTTAGATGCGAGAACCGTTCCGCGTGTACGCTGGCTCTTTGAGATTAACGAGCAAACAGCAACCATGGAGGCCCTCAGAGCAGTGATCGGACGGATTTCAACGCAACACTAAAGATATGGAAAAGCGTAATGAGACAGAAAGGATGACAGACGTAACTGAAAGGACAAAAATGAGAGAAATCAACAAGCCTACACCTCCTCCACCTGAACAACCCGAGACTCAACCCGGAAATAGTAAAATACTGTGACAAAGAGCTCGTCAGGTGGTGTGAGATGCGACCGTCTAATAGACACAAGGAAGAACATAGCTTCCTATAAACCAAAAAGCTTTATAGCAGTGCAAACCAAGAATCTGCGGAGCCAGATATGGCTTAAAACCGGCAAGCAAACAAAGGCACAGACGGTTAGGGATGGTTAGTTTTAACCTGGAAGATTCCCCAGTTTGCGCTTGCGGACAATTCGAAACCGTGGTACACATTGCTGGAGCTCGAGTAAAATGGCTACAAGGTATAGGCGAAATTCGTGCAAATATGGCCACCCTGAGGAGAGCAATGACAACGCCAATGAACTACCGAGCTGTGATGTGGCGGAGTCATGAGGACAACGGGTTGGACTGCTTGATCCAACCTCTCACTCGGCAGCGAACCTCGTAGTTATGATTAACCCGAAAAAACACAGCCAAACTCTTACAAGACTTACTCCAATCCTTTTTTTAAAAAAGATTGAACACCGCACTCACTCCATCATTCACCATTTCTAGACTTACTCCATGTCCCGCGCAGGACGCCTCCGTGAGACCCTTCCTGCGGGCACTTTCATAGTGCTGCAAAATCCGGCGGAGGAAGCAAAACAACCATTAGGCAGAAATGATCTGCAAGGCTCTATAATTCTGCTCCGGCACAGATAAAGACCTAGATGGTTAAGGATAAGCTTTAGGATAAAGGAGTCCCCCCCTTTGCCGTTGTCGTTCGGATGAGAAAGCAGAACATGTCCAAATGTTGATGATTTAAGGCAAAATTGGATGAGCAGCGTACGAGAAGAAGAAGCAACAATGGACTCCTTGGGAAGGGCTCTCCTTTCAAAAGCCGACTCTAAAGATACAATTGCTTTCGCCAAAGCAATAATGGCCAGAAAAGGATGGCCGAGAAAATAAGTTGATAAAATTAGAATCATCATATCTACATAAACCCATGATCTCCCCTCATCATCATCCCGACCAGGCAGCTCCTCGTGGTCCATCCTAGACAAGACCTATGGCCGTGAGTAACGTCTGGTGATGAGGGGGGACCGTTGGGACCAGTAAAAAAAACTTGGTAGCGCCTAACGGCGAAGGTCCGGTAAAACGCCAGAAGTCCTAAAGGTTATGGAGGTTGGAGGCAATTCGGAATACATGGAAGAATTTAGGAATTGTGAAGATTTTAGGATTTGGATTGATATAGGCACAAATCTGCACATGTACGTACATACATACAAACATTTGCCGAGTTGGGCCTATCGCTTCTCGTAGTCCACCAGGGATTCCAGCTTTTGCTAAAACTGCTGGCAGACTCGAGAATCACCTTAATCATCAGACCTCATCCGTCCAGCCATCGAGGTTGGGCTCCAAGTGGTATCAGCAGCTAGGTCAATTCAGCACCAAACGGATGCAGTTCCAAACTCGATATTCCTCCATCATCCTTTACACATAACATGAAACTAGCTTAACTGAGGGTCGGCGGAGTACTCGATATTTCGCCATCGACCATCTTACAACACACATTCACGCTAATAAATACATTCACTCTTAACACAAACTAGGTATACACAAGATTATTACTATATACAATGGAACAACCCTGTTTCCTCCAAGAATCGGAACGGGGGACCTAAGTACTCGCTGCTGTGCTCAAATGGGGTGACATCCCTGCGTACTCTCTGTATGTAGCCAAGGAATTGTACCCTTCAATTAGGTGAGACACATCGAGCAATCTTCCTCCGCATGCCGCACACATACGCGAGCTTTGACCCAAAAGTAAGTGTCCGTGTGTCAACCTCGCATAGCCTGTTTTTAATCGAGTGAGGATGACCATTCTTCTACGAGTCATATGCTCCGAGGGCCAGTCATCGACAGTGCTACTGGTACGCGATAGCTTCTCTGCCGATCCGGTCCATTGACGATGCTCAGGAATGTATAGAGTTAGAAACTTAGAAAAGGGTTTGGAGTGTTTCGAGATGGTTAGGGGTTGCTAAAGATGATTAGGAACGGTTAGAGATGGTTATGAATGATTGAACATGTCTATGAATTGTTAGAGATGGTTTCTAGGAAACCAGGATGTCCTAAAACGACCAAACAGTGTGAATTAAAAAAATACCAAAGTAATCTGAAGGTCCGAGTTTGCCGACTTCAACAGAAGAGTCGCCTTCTCCTCGGCACTGGAGGACGAGGGCGGTTCCTTCGACGATGATGTAGAAGTCGTCTCCGGGCTCGCCCTGCTTGACTATGGCCTCGTTGTCGGAGAAGGAGACGGTCTCGAGCGCATCGGCCACTGTCAGCCTTTCCCACTTGTCAAGACTCTCTGAAAAGGATCGTCGTTAGACCCGTCGTGGTTAAAATTTGTGTCGGCACTCACCCAGGATGGACACTCTAGACAAGAAGCCCTCGTACATCTTCCTCTTCCTGATGGTCGAGCCCATGAGTATCCGCCTGTAGGAGTCCCTGTCGATACCCCAGAGCTTGACAGCCGTCTTGGTCTTGACTGTGGCCGCCCTGGGTGTGCCGTAGATGAGTGCCAGTTCGCCGAAGCTCGAACCCTCGCCGATCGTCGTGACCAGCTCGTTGTTCACGTACACCTCAACCTCGCCCTGGTCGATGACGTAGAAGTTGTCGCCTTCATCGCCCTGTTGGATGATCGTCTCGCCCGGGAGGAAGTTGACCGGGAACATGGCGTCAAAGATGTCAGACCGCTCGTTTTCGTCCAAGTGGGAGAAGAGGACGTTTTTCGCTATCGCTTTCGCAAGAGCGCCCATCGTCTTGTAATCCTTGGGTACCACCTGGAACAAGAGACGGGTAATAAACCGATAAATATAAAAGAACAATAAAGGCAAACAAAAAAAAAAAAGGGTCGACAGACTGGCAAACAAGCCTATAACAAAAGAGGAAACGGATAAACCGCTGTCTAACAAACCGAAAGAGAGCTCGGTGCAAAAATCCCAAAGGATTAAACAAACAAATTTTGTTTAAAAAAGCTTTTTACCCCCCTTGTTAAATAGAAATCCGCCACGGATATCGTTGAAGATAATCGTCTTAGAAGAAATTCAACTGCTATAAAAGCTTCCTTCTTTTAGTTTCATTCCAAGATTGCCTGAGGTCCTCGGTGGACAAACGAGGTCGACACCCCTGCAGTGTGAACAAGTCTATTGGCTTGTACACAGATGCGATATTACTTGACATTTTGCCAATTTCCTGTTCGAACTTAGCTACCCTGATAAATATAGTCGAAACTTAGCGAGGAAAAGATCTTTCAAAAGTCAAATCGTACTAAGTCAATGTAAGCGTAACTTAGCTGGCTTTATTGTCAATGATGTGTTATTGGGCGTGGCTTTATTGTCAATGACGTGTTAGTGGGCGGGGCTTTCTTGCCAATGACGTGTTAGCTGGCATGGCTTTATTGTCAAGGGCGTGTTACTGGGCGTGGCTTTCTTGCCAAGGACGCGTTAGCTGGCATGGCTTTATTGCAAGGGCGTGTTAGTGGGCGTGGCTTTCTTGCCAATGACGTGTTAGCTGGCATAGCTTTATTTTCAAGGGCGTGTTACTGGGCGTGGCTTTCTTGTGAATGACGTTTTAGCTGGCTTGGCTTTATTATCAATGACGTGTTAGTGGGCGTGGCTTTCTTGTCGGTACTGGCCACGCTGCTCGGTAAAATCGTCGAATCATTTCTAATTAAGAGTGGTTATGGATATTGGTCAAATCATCAATGCCATCGAAGTAGGCGACGATCAATTTTAGTACAAAGAAGCCGTTATGCTGGGAGGTGAATACAGTAATATAAATATATAATATACATACTACTACTACGTCAAAGCAAACGTGAGTTAATATTTTTAAATACACCAAATAGAGGTGGTGGCTGAACAGCTAATGATTTCAAATAAGGCTTTGATGAGATGTGATTTTTTTTATTTTGTGCTAATCTCGATTTGAAATTTGACTGATGATCGAGTCGTAAGGGCAATTTTTATTGACTTATTTAAAAGAAAGTGCGCGTCACGTCTCGCTTTTTTCTCCTAGAAAAGAATAATGCCCGAGGAAAAGAGTTTGGCCGAATGGCAAAACAAGACAATTCTGGTAGGAAATCAATTTTATTATTTTTTTTAAATACCCCGAGCTAATTTGGTCCATTTCCAATTTATAACTTTTAATTTTGGCCCTAGGTAGACGAACGGTTTATCTAGACGTCGGGTCTGGTCGAACTGCCAAAAGTCAGTTTTAATTCATCTTTTTTTTTAATATCGAAATGCGACGAGGAGAAGGAGAACATTTGACATTTTTACCTTTTTGACATAGCTGGTGGCGTCTTCCTCGGTAACGGGCTCCGCCGAGATGCCTCCTCTCCTCCGGGCTGGCTGCTGCACCGTGTTGGGCAGTGGTGACAGGTCTTCGGTGTCTTCTACCGACGTCACCTGCTGTTTAGCGTCCTGGGCGGCCTGCTCCTGAAAAATAAAATGACCATCGGTTCAAAAGCTCTGAATTCGAAATGAAGCTTTTACCGTGATTCGAAAGTTCATAATGCAAACGCCCGATCCAGCAGGGCTCGGGCGGTCAATAAATGATATAGGAACTACAAGATAAACGGCATTTCAAAATTACGTACTACTCGCCTAAATTGTACACCCATCCTTCCTACACTAAGTTAATAAGTACGTTCTAATTTTAGAAGTGTGTTAGTTTTGGGGGGAGTTCTTTGATTTTTCACAGGAGTGGAAAAGTTGACGAAAAGGATCATGTCAAAAAGAACGTGGATGTGCTGGTCAGATTTTATTGCCTAAAATGGCTGTTAAACACTCTCAATAATTTTTATCTTAAAATAATACAGGTAGTTGAATTTCATTAACTTTAAATTGTGTTGAACCAGGAGAAATTGTTGAGGCAAACATATCTATACAACATCCAACAAACAAAATCCGGCCAATTCGGCAAAATTAGAAGAACAAAATGGGAGGTTGGAGGACGAATCCGCCGAGGAGGGACGTCGGAGGAAAGAATATTGTCCAAACGCGATAATTGTACAAAACGAGGCAGGTTCGCTTGAGGAAAAAACTAAACCACAATCATCCAATCACGTTGGCATCAATGAATGGGCCACGTCCGGCCGTTATTCAGCACTTGGATAAATTCCTGAGCGGGACAAACGCCAATTTTATCGACAAAACGAATATTGGAAATAATAAAAAGTGTAACTATTTTTAAACAGGAATTCAAACTTATTTTATTTGTAGGAATATCTTGCAGCCAATCAGTTTCGAGAGAGGAAAGATGGAAAAATTCGATACAATTTCACAAGCTTAACAACTAAAGATTGAAAAGACTCGCTTTTTCTTTTAGACGCTTTTTATTGTTGATTTTGTGTGGTGTGGGTGAGGGTTAGTAAGCTCTTTTACATGTGGGACAAGAAGAGTCTTTTGTGTGGGACGTCTGGATGATGTTGAGAATCTCTTCCTTGATTCCATCCAGGATGGGGTCGAGGGCTTCACAGCTGACGGGACGCTCAGACCTCCTCCGAGGCCTGTTTTTGCAGATCTTGGTCATGACTTCCTCGTAGTCGGGCCTGGGACAGTAGCCGTCGCCCTTCTCGCTCACCAGGAAGACGGGATCGACGGTCTCGGCGTGGGGCGCGGAGACGAGTATGGCCGTGGAGGGCCGTTCGCTGTCCGAAGACCACATGTCCTGGCTCCGGGTCCCCAGAGCCTCGCCCTCCGTTGAGGAGTCGCTGGAGACTATGATGTCCATCTCCGAGGGCTCCTCGCCCCAGATCTTGGGCGCGGAGAGGACGCTCTCCCTGTCTGAGATGCCGTCCGCCTCGACGGAGCTGGGGTACGTGTCGACGGAGCTGCCGTACGCGGCGACCGAACACTCCTCCTGCACGGGGCAGGCGTACTTCCCTCTGCCTAGGAGCCAGTCGATCTGGGAAGGCGTCTTCCTCATCTTCTTGGCCAGGGTCCGTCGCAGGTAGTCGTAAGACCTGCTCGGTAGCAACTGCCCGCACTCCTCGCCGCCCACTTGGTCGATGTAAGAGGATATCTCGTCCAGGACGTCCTCCACGCTCCTCCCCGTGAATGTGAGCGTGTCGGAGCTGACATCGGACACGGTTCCGCTCGACGTGGACAGACTCTTCCATCTGCGGTGCGTACCCTCGGCCTGGGTCAACGAACCCACGGTCTTCGTGGATATCCACTGCACCGCCGCACCGATCTGGCACACGAACAGGGCCAAGTAGAAAAACAGGGACCTCCAAATCACGAAGATCATCTCGAACAACAGACTTAACAAATGAAATGAAATGTATTGGAAATTTTTTGTCTTCTACCTGTAAACCCTGTTCATCTTTTAAAAACATATGAAGATGTTCGAGCACATGTGCTCTCACAGTACACCTGATCGACCGGTTAATTAATTACTACAGGCCTTTCAACGCCTGGTATTATGAAAATACGACAAACAACAATCGAACGAAAATCATTAAAATTACAACTAACATGTGATTGAATACAAAGTTTCGATCCACAACTAATGTCAATCGTCTATTTTACGCCTCAATTCGAAAATCATTTTACAAAAAAAACCTAATAATTTTACTTGTGACCAAGTTAGAGCAAAACGAAATGAGTCTAAGTTGTAAGAACAGTATCGTGTTGAGTTCATATCATCGTCTGATTTTCCTTTAAGCATGTTTAAACTTGCACACCTCTGAAATGGCTTTGTCAAAAATGTATAACAATACTCTGCTAATTATCTAATAACGTCAAAGTTGGCGTGTTTAAGAGGTCGGTGGCTTCGGATGGGGCCTAAGGGTGCGTAAATTAATTAGGTAAAGTCATTGTCAATTGATGTCTAAGAGAGGGTGTGCATTGTGCTAATGAAATGGACGTGCTTTACCCGCTTTCCTACTGACAAGTATAAGGACAACAGAAGTGATTAATATGGTAACATCAAAAAGTTGTCTTAATTAATTATGCTTTCAAATCACATTATATCGTGCGTGCTAAACGCAAATGTCAATTGACGGCAGTGTGGGAGAGGGTTTACAGGTTGTCAAATGACGGCAGATTAAGCCAATTAACAAAGTGGCCGTTCTTAAATGATGTCAAAGACGTTGAGGTTAACGCTAGAGTCAATTGACGTTAAAGTGGGCGTGGTTGGTGTAGTTTAAAATATTGCCTAAGTGGACGGGGTAGTGGCAGGTTAAATGATGTCAAAATGGGCGTGGTTTATGAGATTGTCAAATGAAGTCAAAGTGGGCGTGGTTAAACGATTGTCAAATGTCGGCAATGGTGTAATTTAAACTGTTGTCTTGGGGGCGTCGGTGGCCGCGACGGTTTAGACGTTGACACGGCTCATCAATGAAAGGTAAAGGTCCCGGGTTCGAACCCAGGACCCCGAGGGTTCATATAACCTCGTAGTTGAAATACCATCGTTAAAAAAATAACATAAAAAATTGTCTATGCGGGCGTGGTGATGGCGAGTGTTAAATGATGTCAAAGTGGGTGTGAGTAACGCGATTGTCAAATGATTGCACAATGGGTGTGGTTAACGTGATTCTAAATGATGTCAAAAGGGGTGTGATTAATGCGATTTTCAAATGATGTCAAAATGGGCGTGGTTAACGCGAATGTTAAATTATGTTAAAGTGGGCGTGGTTAATTTTTTTGACAAATGACGATAAAGTTTATGTAGTTAGAACTATTTCCTAAGTGAGTGTCATTAAAGAGACAGTTAAATGATATCAACATACGCGTGGTTAACACGATAGTCAAAAGAAATTCAAGTTGGAGTGGTGATGGCGATTGTTAAATGATGTCAAAATGGGTGTGGTTTAAGCCAATGTCAAATGATTGCAATGTTGGTGAAGTTAAAACCATTGCTTAAGTGGCCGTGATTAAAGCTATCGTTAAATGATGTCGAAGTTGGAATGGTGATGGCGATTGTTAAATGATGTCAAAATGGGTATGGTTAGCGTGATTGTTAAATGATGTTAAACTGCGCGTGGTGATGGCGATTGTTAAATGATATCAAAGTGAGCGTGATTAACGCGATTGGCAAATGATGTTAAAGCAGGCGTGGTGATGGCTATTGTTAAATGATATCAAAGTGGGTGTGATTAACGCGATTGTCAAATGATGTCAAAATGGGCGTGGTTAACGTGATTGTTAAATGATGTCGAAATGGGGGTGGTTAAGCGATTGTAAAAGTTTGTCAAAGTGAGGATGGTTAAGATGTTTAATACGATAAAGTTGATGTAGCAAAAACCATTGCCTAAGTGGGCCTGATTAACGCGATTGTCAAATGATGTCAGAATGAGCGTGGTTAACGTGATTGTTACATGATATCAAAGGGGGCGTGGTGATGGCGACTGTTAAATGATATTAAAGTGAATGTAATTAACGCGATTGTTAAATGATGTCAAAATGGGCATGGTTAGCGCGATTGTTAAATGATGTTAAAGTGGATGTGATTAACGCGATTGTCAAATGGGCGTGATTGAAGCGATTGTAAAATTTTGTCAAAGTTAGCGTGGTGATGGCGATTGTTAAATGATGTCAAAATGAGCGTGGTTAACGCGATTGTCAAATGATGTCCAAATGGGCGTGGTTTAAGCGATTGTAAAATTTTATCAAAGTGAGCGTGGTGATGGCGATTGTTAAATGATGTCAAAATGAGCGTGGTTAACGTGATTGTCAAATGATGTCCAAATGGGCGTGGTTGAAGCGATTGTAAAATTTTATCAAAGTGAGCGTGGTGATGGCGATTGTTAAATGATGTCAAAATGAGCGTGGTTAACGTGATTGACAAATGTTGTCCAAATGGGCGTGGTTTAAGCGATTGTAAAATTTTGTCAAAGTGAGCGTGATGATGGCGATTGTTCAAATGTTGTCCAAATGGGCGTGGTTTAAGCGATTGTAAAATTTTGTCAAAGTGAGCGTGGTGATGGTGATTGTTAAATGATGTCAAAGTGGGCATGGTTAAGATGGTTGTGGTGGGTCAAGGAATCGCTTTTATAAAAAGCAAGGTAGTTTCACAAATTCACAAGATAAGACTAGGTATTCAAATTCGCGTCAAGCGTCCCCCGGCCCCGGGGTGAAAAATTTCTTAAATGGCCGTACTAAATCGCTAGACACGCAAGGGCCGATTGATAAGTCCTTTATAGAACGTTCAATCATGATGGGGGTTAGATCAAAATATCCAAACCAGATGACAAAGGCAGATTAATTAAACAAGCTGTCGTACGGATAAAGTGCATTTCGAAATGAATGTCAAAGTAAATTTTATCAAAGGGGTTTTTGTCAAAGGTTGTCATGATCATGAACAAAACTTACGCCTCTTTATCATGGATTTGATCGTCAAAGGGTCTATTCAAGTTTGATAAACATCAAAAGAAGGTTTTTGTCTGTTTATTACTAAAATGGCTATGTAAATAAATTATACCATCTCCGCC